ATTGTCCGTAAGTTGTTTTATCACAAGGAATACACACGTAAATTTAATTATAATAACTACAGCAAATAACTAGTTCTTGCTAATGAATCACTGCACACTGTGTGGCAGCATTTGCGATTAAACTCCAGGGTAAAGTAAAAATCTGTTTCCTTATAATTATTTTATCTTCAAATCAATGCAACTATATGACCAGCAAGCTTTAAGGAAATCCAAAATTCTCCTGGAAATACAAATTCACAACTAATTGAAATAATGAAATTAAATTATCTAAATTGACTTGATGTGGGTTTTGAAATATGACAAAAGTTGTCGTTTAAAAGGTTAAGCAGGTAACTGGTATGACAGCATACAAATAATAATTGGACTCAATGATAAATTGATCAACATATTAGACATCAGATATAGTAATCCTTTCATTAAACGAACAATGAACAAATATGAAAAAATGAAACTCATATTCTTTGAGGGGTACGATTATTAGTATTAGAATGTTAATAATAATTTAAATCCAAAATGAGCCAAAAGAAACATTCAAACTAGATCTTTACCTATTAACAGTCGACTTGAAAAACTAGTAACCTTTAAACATAATGGCTCCAAGATAACATGATATATGTTTATGTAAATATTGCAATGATTGATGTCTTCTTAATGCAGATGTGATTGATGAGTCTAGTATACTGAAACTGAAAATAGCTACAGCCATTGCAATAATCCGAATGAAACCATCAGACATGACTGCACAACAATACACACAGCAGCTTTCACAGCAAATGAAAAACAACAATGAAAGTTGGAAGAAAAAAGCTCAGAGAATGGAAATGGAATTATTACAAACAAGACAAGAATTAGTGAAAACAAAGTTAGGTTGTAATGATAAGGAAAGTGGAAAAGGTGAGTAGTTCCAGTCCATTTATGCACGTAGGCAATGCGATCCTGGACTGCCTAAGTGCATACCGTGAAGTTATTATGAGGACACTGCAAAGTATCCTCCATAGCAGTAGTGACTGTATCATGTGACACTAGCAGAGATAGATGCATTCCTGTACTCATGTCATAATGTTATTATTATTCATCTTTGTTATGTTTATAGTAATAATTTAACAACTTGAAAAGGAAACAAAACATTGTTTGCATTGTGCGAACATTACTATCTAGCTTTTGTGTCTAAATCTAAACACAGGAAAGTGTATGAATGTGACTTCCCTTGAACATGTCAATTTTAATGACATACCAGTAGTTTTACAACTGAAATTAGGGAAAATTGAGCGAGTGCTGATGTATTTTGAAACAAATGCAGATACAGGTTTTTAACAAACAGTAAATTCACTTTTTGATTCATAAAAATGTGCAATATTATAAATCAGTTTTCTGCATATATTAAAGCGGGGGAGTCGTCACCTGCACATGCGCCAGATAGCCATAGTGTGTCATTGAGCCTTTGCATTTTTAGCGTGTATTGTTGTCATTGCTTGAGTCCCAATGACACGGCTATGGTCATCTGGCGAGAGTAAGAGATAACAATTATATTTTTGTGTCAGGTGAGTTCCCAACATTGAATGCCACTTTTTTATGTGCAAATTCCTGGACTATGTGACCATGCACACACTATTCTGACATCAGTCAGCACAATTAACCTGTATATCTTATTCAAGTTATATTCAGTGGGGAATGATTTTCAACCAGTGGCCTTCTCGTCAAGTCTGTGGCAAGCTCACCAAGGGGTAGGGGTTGACCCCTTGGTCCCGATGGTATACTGGTGTTTCATGCACCTAAATCTGGGCGTGCATTCTGATGGCTTGGATAGACCAGCTCTGATGAAGTATTAATATTAACTTTAACATTAATTCCATTCAGATTCAGAAGAAATTGCCCACCAAAGCAGTGCATCAGTGTTTCCTACTCCACCATGCTCAGCAGATAACTCTCACATACAAGAAGTGAGGTAGTAAAACATCATACACAGTTCCTTCAACATGTGTTGACTTTGCAATCTTGTATCAAGGATTTACCTCTGTTAGATTCCTGTGATGTCTCTCTCACAGCAAAAGACACCATAATACATTGCATTAGAAACATATGTAAATTAGTAAAAGATATGGGCTGTGACCTTCCAACAAGTAAATTAAAATTGGCAGTTGAGAAGATAATGGAGATATTAGAATGTCCTGTTGTGGAGAAATTTAAACCAGAGATTCAACAACAGTGTATGGAGTTGATGCAAGATATCCTGAATTTTATCATTTATAACAGTCAGCTTAATCAGGTATTTATTCAGTAAAACTACCGGTAACTGCATCTACCAGTAAATCATTTTGTGTTCTGTGAGTGAAAGAATTAATATTGATAACAAAAAAGATTGTTTTGGAAACGTCTATTCATGTGTTCTCTCTAATTGTTGAAGGGACTTACCAGTAATACAATTTGAGAAAATCTGAATATCAGGTTTTTAATTTATTGTTGTTGACTCCTGTGTGCCAAGCACAGAATGTCTTTGAGGTTAGTGTGTCTGTGCATGTGTATGTCTGTTCCACTGATATCTCAAGAACAAACTATCAGATTTTAATGCAACTTGTTACATAGATGTTCTGGGATCATGCTCTAACCTTTAGTTTTCGGTTGAAATTTTGTGCATATTAATTAACCAATATTAAGGATTTTCGCTTTTTTCACAAGAACTGTTTAGCAAATTTCAATGAAACTTAATACAAAGATGGTCTCGGACAATGTGCAGATCTAATTAGTTATTGGTTGCAACTTTGAATATCAATCACCTAACTGGCATATTAATTAGCCAATTTTAAGCATTTTCACTTGTTTCTCATATACCATTCAACAGATTTCAATGGTTAATTGGAATTATACTGACATGCCACAAGTGCAATGATAAAGACATTTGACAAATAATATGACCATTAAACCACATGTCCATGCATAATCGAGTTGTGTCCGTCTGCCTGCTTGCCTGTGAGAGTGCAAATCAAATTCGTTTACCGGTAGTATTCTGCTTGCCCTGTATATGTACAGGGAATGTCATTTATGCATACAGATTAATCATGTGTATATACAAGTTTGATAGTAATCTAATCATTTGAATATTTAAAACATTTTTGAATGAATTAAACAACTTTTAATACACTTGGAGGATTGAGTGGACCAGGAAGTGATTAAAAACCTTGCCAGTTGCATGGGCTAAAATCTTCTAATAGCCATCTAAAAAAATATCCTTTCTATTTCTATTCTAAGTTTTGATATGCTTCACTAATCTTATCATTTTCAGACATCTTACCAGAGTGAGCTATCAAATATGGGGATGGTCCTGGCACAGAATCGTATCATACAACACAGTATTGTAAAAACAGTGGTTGATGGAATCACAAAGTATTCAGGACAATTAAGGAAATCACTTGAGGAGAACACAGACTGGGATCCATTACATTTTGAAAACTCTTACTACTTGTTTCTGATACTTGAAGACATTCTAACAGGTGTTATAAAGAATAGAAAATTGTTACAATCCTGGCCAGATTCATTGACAAGAGATATACAGCAACAGTTAGACGATTGTCTGTTACACATCTCTCACGTGTTTCCATTGTATTCACATTACGTTTGGAAGATCACAGCTATATTACAGAACTTACAATAACATCAAATGTCGCAATATTACAGCTATGAACTACTAACCACAACTATCATGCCCAAATAACAACAGACTTTCAAAGATTAAAGTTTCATTTATTTTCAAAAAAGATTGCACTTCATATTTTATCAAATTATTTTTTAAAATAAATTTCTCATACCATCATGACGGACAGTCTGCCTTCAGAGTGAAATACACTGACATTCACAGTAAATTTACAACTATTTGAGATTCAACTCAATTTGTTTTCCTAAATCAGAATCGGATATATTGAGAAGCCTCCATGCTATCATGTTTATTTCAATTTGGGCTTTCTACTTTCCAGTGCAAACACTGGTTTAGATAATACACAAGATGCTGATCATCTTCAGATTTGCTTCCCAGAGTTCTGTAAATAGAATCACGTCTTCATGTAAGCTGAGAAATGAGAAATGTCGGACATAAATAATTGACATGATTCCATTTTGCCAGAAAAAGTTAGTGGAGTGGGTGGAAGTATCATGGGTGGAATGCTCCAGATTCTTGACCAAGATATCCATCAATTCTTCTATTCCTTCAAAGCAGTTGTGTGTACCCTATACTACAAAATGTACATGTACCTCTGCATTTACTGGGTTTCATATTTACTTACTATTAAACAACATATGCTTTTTATATATTCATGGATTATTATTCTCCAAGCCAGATCACATTTATACTGCCATGTAGTTGGTCCTATTTCATATCAGTTCATTTATGATATGAAACAGTTTTTGTGAATATTTTTCAAATTTTGATTTTAGCTGTCTGAGGATCATGGAATGAATACTCAAGACATTTGAATTGTTTGTTGAAATGTGAGGCACCTATTCCTATTTTTGACACTGTTTACCTTTATATATTAGTCTTAGGAGTGAATGTCATTCATACACCCAATATAGAATCTAAATATTTACTATGTTTTTCATCTAAATGATTTAGGAATGTCTGAATTCGCTGTTCTCTTTGCTTAGCATATAGCTGAATTTTGCTTTCCAAGTCACTACAGTTCTTGTAGTCCTCCAACACACACTGATGATCAGACTCTCGCTGTCTTTCTTCAACTGTTTCTTGATTTTGTTGCTTTGTTTTCTGTGTACAAAATTACATACAGCCATTAATATATTTTCAGCTTAAGTGAATGCACATCAAACCAGAATCAAACTTACATGTATTACAAACAATGCTATGCTTCAACTCTTGATAACAACATCTTGGTTGTGACGTAATCGACTGATGGAAATAGCAGCTACTGCTGTGAATCCAGCACTCCAAAAATCCTGGGCTGCATTGTCATGGAATGTCATAGTTAAATTTGCGTCTATTAAATGTACCTGTACTGGTAATGATAATAATAACATAGCGCCTGTTTTGCTACAAATGATGCCCAATGACGTTCACAGGAATGCTTGATGAAACAGATGAGTTACCACTCGTAATACCTAGAATCATGCCCTCAATGATCAATACAGGAAATTCTCTCATTTTTTTTATGAATACAAATGTCACAATTGCCTACCAGGGAACTATTGCATATTCAGACAATTGAATGTCATCAACACAAATCAAGTGTCTGAGTTATACAATTTGGTTTACTCTGAGTCACCAAGTTCTTGTCTCTGACTGAATTATTTTAGAGGGCATTGAGGTGTGGTATCTAAGCAATCACAGCATAAAATATCACATGGAGAAGGGATACTGACAAAATCTTGAAACGTAAACCCCTTGTGAGGCATCCCAGGAAAAAAACATAGTTGAACTCTGGTGACCTTGCCCTTTGTTATATAATACAATTCCTTTAACATATTTGTTTCAATATAAATATACATTGTCATAATTAATTTTGAATACAAACAAGTTTTGGGGTTGAACTAACAGTGGGGAATCAGTCTACCGAATGTCTTTTAAAGATGTAAATATCTTACAAAAACATTTGTGCCTTATTTGTTTAATTATTTTAAGGGACATAATTTCCAGCTTTATTCAAAGTAATTCAGATATTTTAGTATAAAAACAAATGCCTCATTGCAAAAAAAAAAGTGCTGCATTTAGACGTGAATAGATTCATAAAACATGCAAGATAACAGAAAATCTTAGCTGGCTTTTGTCCAAGTATTTTGTACAGGTGTCTGTCAAAAATTAATGATTCACTGAGACAATTATGAACTGCCTCATTGTGTGACTACTGTATTATATGAAAAGTAAAAAAAAAAAAAAAAAATATTCCTGCGAGTTTTCATTTGTCGAATGAACTGTTTGTCAAATACAGAATACATATATTTTAGAACAATTTTCTTTTTAAAATGTGGATGAAATGTTTTGCTTTTTATGTATTTTTTATGTATTGTTTTTGATTTGATAACTTTGAACTAAACAGATTTTCTATTAGCTTCAGATCTTGATCAAAGTTTGGCACCCAGTTCATAGGAGTGCTTATATTGATTTTCTGACATCTTGTTTTCTGTTAAGATTTTATTGGTAGATTTGCAAATGTGTATCAGACTGTGCAACAACTCTCTCCATGAGTTTGCATTGAAATCCAGTCTAGCATATATATACATTACCAAGGATATTATTACAAGATAAAGGATTTGCTTCATTGAACACGTACAGCAATGCACATTCACACTGGGATCAGTGACCTTTGAATGTGTATCAGGAGTGATCAGTCAAGTAGAAAATATTTTATCAGATTTTCTCAATTTTTGCCTGATATTTTCATACAGGACATCTGTTCTTCATACCCAGGGAAGACTTTATATTCATGAATAAGGTGACCAAGTTTGATAAAGTTTGAAATAGAATTAGTAAAGTTATTGTGCACACAATAACATTATTAACGACAGACGACAACGACGACCGACGACAACGCCGGACAGAAATTTTTCCCTTAATATACCTTTCCCTTCCATCTTTGATGGTACGGGCAAGGTAAAAAACATTGAGTCAATTTGTTTTCTAAAATTGATACACATGCTTGACTTTTTATTTTTATTTTAAAATTGTCATAATATCTATATGAATATATCTTTCATTTTTTCCCTTTATCTGACAAAAGTGTGTGTAGTTTCTAAAATTGTGTACATACATTTACAGTCTTGTATATAATTTTTCTTGTACACAATTACCACCAAGTATGGACATTTAGGCCAGACTTTTATTATCCCTTGTTTCGCAAGGGAATCACGAAAATGAAATAAAAATAAAATTTTATTTCAGTGTAATTTCTCACTTACAATTCTTTGAGAATCCTAAATGGACATTTAGGCCAGACTTTTATTATCCCTTGTTTCGCAAGGGAATCACGAAAATGAAATAAAAATAAAATTTTATTTCAGTGTAATTTCTCACTTACAATTCTTTGAGAATCACGCAAATCTAATGGGGAAAAAAGAATTAATTTAATTTTTTTTCCGCCCTCCTCAAAAGAATTGACTTATAAAAACTATAGAAACAAGGAATAAAAAAAATTTGGCCTTAGAAGTAGAACATAATAATTAATATTACAACCCTGCTTAGATACATCACTCAATAATTGCACTAGTTAAAACCCACCTGTATCTGTTCATAGTTTCTTTGATAGTGTAAAACTGCTGCAAATAAATGCCACACAGAAAATTCCGGCCACAGAACCTTTACAAAAGATAATACTGAGAACGTAGTCTGTTGAATAATCAAAAGAAAATGTATTGAAATGACATAGACCAGAGTCTAAGGCACACATGTTATCAATTCTTGTCCCAGGACTACATTTTTCAAAAATACGTAGCCAAAAAATAACCAAAAATTAATTTCATTCCACTGATATACTATTTCCTACACAGCATGAGTTTATTCATTTCACTCTTGGTAAAGCCATTTATATATTCACTATTGGGTAATTGGTGAGTTCAACAACAATTTATGTAATCAAGTTATTTCCCAAATTGTGTTGAGCAAATGGATCTTTGTGTTTATGTAAATTAAGTGCAGGCTAATCGTGTCATAAAACTAGCCATGCAGCCAAGATTTCACATTTATCAGGTTTCCCATGGTATAACTAGATATGTATGCTTTGTCATGTATTTACAATTATAAACCTGTCTTGGAAACTAACAATATCTATACATATGCATACTTGTTTGCATGGTCTCTCGTACCCAAACACTCACAGACAATATTACTCCAGTAAACAGGTACCAGGTTTTAAAAAAATATACACTTACTTGCCATAGCAGGAAATCACTGAGTCTCACTTCACCAGATGTTCGTATCAGCAACTCAGGATTGGGAGACTTTCCAGTATAAAGACACTTCTCTAAAAGTTCTTCAGAGACATCACTGTAATTCAGCAATAGATTCAAGAATTATTCTTTAACCAATAAATCATTCTGTCATATGAATACCACAAGATACTGGTTAATCAAATATGTTCTTATGTACATTTAAATGTTTTAAAATAGGCAAACATTTCGTCATTTCCTATATTCATTTTCATCTTTAAATTTATCTTCATCTCAGACAACATTACAAAACTGCAGTTTTCTGTGCATTTTTCTTGATTTTCCATCCATCAGTGGATGACTCAGGAAGGCACAGACTGATTAGATAGATTAAAATTATAAGGTGACATTAATACACATCCAATCAAGTATGGGTATCCAATTGCATCAAATTTATACATTGGTGGACAGCTGCATCAAAAATATATTTATAAAGATAATTGAGATTACCTTGGTCTGAGAAAGCCCTCTTCCACTCCCAATGCCATTTCTTTTATTGCATTACTTATTTCATGTCTAGATGTGTATGCAAAACATACATTGAGAATAGCCCTGTAGGAGACATTACAAAACTGGATGTTACAGAACTTGCACATAGAGAACCCATATATCATGTACAGTATTTGATCTATTCGTAGAACATGCACTTTAATACATGTACATAAATATTCAGCCAAAAGAAACTTGAGAAACATTAGATGAAAAATTCATCATTCTGAGGTATGTAATGGGGTCTAAAAACTAACTTTGTGACGCGATTGTGCGTGATGTTGGTTATTGCATTCTGCGAAAGAATCACAATGTCACTCTGCGAAGAGCACAATTCACATTGGTTGGTTGGTCGATAAGCGATAATCCCAATGGTTGATCGATGCCCATATTACTTCTTTATTTACAGTGTAAGGGTTCACCGCATGCCTTATAGAAAAATTAAGTTTTAAATGGTTATTTCGCAGACTGCTCGTTTTTTGGGACTAAAATGGCCACCAATAGATCAACTAAAGCAAATAACTAAATGATATACATATGTCTATGTATATTATGACTTGCTTTTCACCAACTTTTAACAAAATCAGTCCAGTCTGAGAAATGATTTTAGACTGACAGAACTATAAGGCTTTGTTTCATACTTTGTCTGACAAGGATTAAATAAGGCTGCCCACTTTTTCAGGTAAAAAAACCCTTACATTCAATAATAGTGATAGTTCTTACCTATTATTATGTTTTGAAAAATTTACAGCCTCTGCAACCGCTCGTTTTACGTCATTTGGCAGCAGATCAATATCACCCAGTACCCGTATGCATACTCCATATTTCTGTATCATTTTCTTCTCTTCGAGTAACTTCTCAAACTTTTGTCTTGCTAGTTCCATCAAACCAGAAACTTCTTCTTTGGATCTTTTAAAATTTTCAATACTGAATGCGTAGACAGTAACTTCTGTAATGCCAAGGTCTAAACACCATTCTAATGTCTAAATAATAAATCAAAAGCAATACAAAAATGTGATTGATTGACAACATTAAAAGCTACACTCGTGTGACAAGTTGTTTTCATTCCTAATACTATTATTACAAACAGAACGCCAATCTTGCATGTAGAGGTTTTCTAGCATGTGTATTTGTCATAGGAGACAGGGTTTTAGCTAAAGTCACTGGCAAGCAATTTACTGTAATTTGAAATCTTATTTATATACTTTGGTTTCTAAAAGTCAATGCTCTTTAGTAAAATATATCAGAAAACCACATAATGGGTTATAGATATGTTTTACATTATTACATGTAACTGTATTGTAGTAGATTTTAGATATCTAACTTGTTATGTTTATTTTAACACCTTTATTACATTTCATAAATCAAAATAGATATGTAATTCATTCTATACGGTTGTAATAATGAATTATCTTATCTTATCTTATATTCAAGTTGACAGAAATAAAATAAACTTTTTTTTATTTTTGACTGCAATGGGTCAGTTGCAAGACCTCCCTAAAGGTTGCACATCCTGGCACATCACATCGTGACATTAAAAATACCGGGTAACACATTCTTGCACTTTCTGGGATATTGTTGTCATGGAAGTGAAACATTATGAGGATATCGCAAAGCATGCATGAAGACAGGACAGTAATAGTGACCAAGGCGTAGTGTATGATGATGTGCATATTGTTTCAGGGTGCCAACAAATTATGGATTATTATGCAAATTAGGTAATTAATATGATCTGATTTTAACCCCAAACTGAGCAGGGATGTGAATTGTTCTAGAGCATCAATGTACCAAGTTTCATTGAAAAAGAATAATTAATACAAGTGATATCAGTGTAAAAGCTGAAAATTGGCTAATTAGGGAATTAATATGCACTGATTTTAACCCAAAACTAATCAGGTCTGTGCATTGTCCTAGAAAATCTATGTACCAAGGATTCATTGAAATGGGATAATTAGCACTTGTGATATCAGTGTAAAAGCCAAAAATTAACTAATTATGCAAATTAGTTGAGTAATAACACATTTTTACCCAAAATTAATCAGGTCTCTGAATTGTTCTAGAGCATCTATGTACCAAGTTGCATTGAAAAGTAATGAAGTAATAGTACTTCAAATATCAAAAGCTGAAAATTGATTAATCATGCAAATTAGGTAATTAATATTTCACGTACATGTCTGTGCGTTGTCCTATGTATCTATTTAAGTTTCATTCAAATGAAATGATGATTAGTACCTGAAATATCAGTGGAAAAGACGAAAAATTTACTAATCATTATGCAAATTAGGTTAATTATATGCATGAATTTTTACCCAAAACTAATCAAATCTATACATTAGTCCAGAGCATCTATGTAACAAGTTTCATCAAAATTAAATGAATGGCTCTTTAGATATCAGTGGAACAGTCATGGAATAGCTAAAAATTAGCTAATTATCATGCAAATTAGGTAATTAATATGCATGGATTTCAACCAAAACCTAATCAAATCTGCGCATTAGCCCAGAGCATCTATGCACCAAGTTTCATTAAAAACAAACATACAGTTCTTGAGATATCAGTGGAACGAACAGACACGCATACAGATAGGGTAACTGCAAAGACTCCCATTGTGTGCTTCACACTCACACAGGAGTCAAAAAGACTTTTCAGCAAAAATTGATTACAGCTAAAATGAAGTATTCTATAGTACATCAAATGGGTTTAATCTCACCTCAGTAAGTTTCTCAAAACCTTTTATGTGTCCTTCTTGCCTTTCAAGAGAACTTTTTCTTGCAAACCTTCTATTTCCATCCATGATGAAAGCAACATGTTTTGGGATGGCTCCACATTTCAAAACATTAGCACAGAACTTTGTGAAGCGGTTTGTTGACCGATGCTCATCTTCAGGAAACCAAGACATCCTACAAGAATACATGTATCAAGATAATCAGTAAGTCGAGGTATCCCACACACAAAAAGTACAAACAATGTTTCCTATGTATGGTGTTTTCAAAAGTAGAAATTAACAAAAGCATGTTTGCAATTAACACAGGTTCATTTCACCAACTGAAAATGTTTGAGCTGAAGAGAAAATTGGAAAAGTAAAAAGACTTCAGGAGAAGGAACTTTGACTGGTAAAGGTAGGACTTTTTTGTTTTGTTTTACTTTTGCCAGTCTATAGGAAATGCAATGTTATTAAATATTGTTTAGTTTTATATATTTCTGGGTGATATTTTATATGCCAGAAACCAATCATATAGAATGGAATATTGATTAACTATTGAAAATTTCACTTTTAGTTTGTAGAAAGAATAAAATGCTACGAGATAAATACATCAATGAGTGTATTGATTGCAATTTTTAAACCATTTAATTCTTTATTGTATAAAACCAAAGACTATAGTCTTTGATAAAACTCTCTAAATATATTAAATTACCCTGGGCATTCACGATAATTAGCCTTTAATTTTACACAATTTGTGGATTTTATGGAATTTGTGAAAACAAAATTTTGCAAAAGTCACTGACATCCTGAGCAATATAACCTCGGAGAAATCAGTGATTTTTTTTAAACAAGGAAACAGGGACGCAGCGTCCTCATGCATTGGCCATGCGCCCCCTTATCCTGGGGAGCAGATCCTCTGGCAACCATAACATTCTGATTGACAAGGAATCACATGTGGCCACAGTCTTCAACTGTGACCTGCAACTGTCTGATAGTAATTTTGGCCCCATAGGAAGCTATAGAATGCTCCATTTTAACTTAGAATTATCAAAAATTCCACACCCTGGTAGGGAGAACCCTATCTCCCAGACTTGGAGGCGTCGCTGAATTGCAGTGCTTCCTCTTGCAGTTTTTTTTTCCAGGGAATCCCCTGAAAATGTTGACTAACTAGTGAAATTTCAAAATTAAAACAGTTTACAGTCCATATATACATATGCCACTTGACATATGATATCATACATAATAGAATACCTACAAGATTGGCATTATTTCAGGTAGCTATGGAGACCGCATTAGATACTGAATATTATCAGGTGGTATCTTGTTTTTGATAGATGAAATTATCACCAACAATGAAATACTATGAGGTTATTATGAGAATATTGCAAAGTATGCATGAAGACAGTACAGTGATCGTATTGATTAACGCATAGGAAGACATTCAAACGTGTCCATAACACTCTCAAACACACACGCACAGAATTTTAAAGATGGAAGAAAACTATTGTCTTTGATGTCAGATGTAAAATAATGTACTTTAAAATACTTTATTTTAGCTGGAATAAATTTTCGCTGAAAAGATTTTTGGGTGTTTTGTATGGAATTTATTTTCTCTGATTTTCGACAAGTTGAATGCAAAATATAGGAAAAGGGTATATTCACCAGATTTTATTTTCACTGAATCATTCCTTCAGCAAAAATAGCGAAAATAAAGTATTTTACATTATTTTATTTGAACTGCGGACATTTCGTATGTGGTCAGTAAAATTCATCAGTTTTTGTTCAATATAGATAGTTGTAAGGGTCCTTGAACTTGTCAGCAATTGTGCATGTTGCCTACAACATTTTTATCAGAGGCTAGTAAATAAAATATAAAGCTTAGACATTACTGTTTTGTAATTTCAGTATGTGTTGCTTTTTGGATTTTCTGTTGTGTAAGTTACACTTCGAAAAAAAGGGATCTTTAAATATGCCACCAAGAAGAAACTAAATTATTAACAATAATTTTTCACATAAATGCAGAAATCAAAAAGATACAAACTTATAGATTTTAGTATTGTCACAGTCGATACATGTAACATCAATACATGTACTCAACTATGATAATTCAGCATTTGATTAAAAAAATAATTACCAGTAAGTGATGACAGAAAATTATATGGGTTCTCTTCAGAGCTTTAGAGAGTAGGGGTTCACAACCATTTTTAATAAACAATAGAGCCAATTTAAACAATGAATACAATAGAGGAAACTAACTTATTATATTGTTATGCAAATTAGCTGATACTCTGACATTTTTCTGGGAAGAACACTGATCATCTCAGCAGAATATTTTTACAATAAATTTGAAATACAATTATCGGTACTTAAATTCTTAGCTCTAAAAATACAATACTTAAATAGATAAATTTTCACTGGGTTTATTTCTGCTGGGTGTTAGTTGATCATATTTAGATGTCAGTGAAAATAAAACCCAGTCAATAATTCAAGCCATATACAGTAGTAAATTTAAATAATCAATTTGTTGACAGTGAAAGCAATGAGTGAAAACAAGATTTTATACTTTAAAAATTGCTAAAAATCCTGTTTTTGTTATTGCTTTTCTGTTCATTAGACATTTTTACCAACCTGATTTCCATGAGAGATTTTTTAAAGACATTAGGTTTTCTCGCTTGACACTTTCTCAGTACAAGTAGAGATATACAGACAGGAAATGCAACTTGGACTTGAAGTACCGTAAGGTTAATACCCCCCCCCCCCATCCATTAAACATTGTACCTATGGGTGATTTATTTTGTCCATTCATACCCCTGTAAATAGAGGTTTAATTTTTCAATGCAGTTCTGGAGTGATAAAGAATAACTTTATTCTTTCTGTTCAAAAAGATAGATTACATTGAGTCTTTGTAACAACATTTTATTTTCGTTAATAAGACAATATTTTGAAAACAGCTGTAGTGTATATATAAATTATTAAAGAAAGAAATCTAATCTCTCGTGTTTGTCACAGCTAAAATAAAGTTGATGAACCAAATTATTTTTATGTGAATGTAAAAAAAAATTTAAAAAAAATTATCATCTGTTGGAACTATATATTTTTATGTAACAGTTGAGATCTCTGCGATTTATATTTTTTATAGAGTCTGCCATTTATTGTAATTATGTGTCTGCCTTTTTCAATAGCTAAACTATAGTTGCTTACCCAGAATTTAGTAGAAATATTTCTATTCTCACAGCCCATAAGACTCCAGATTTCATTTCATTAGATATAGCAGTTCTCCACTTGTTTACATAATTGCTTTGTACATTCATTTGATTGTCAAATGTTGCAAATTGTTGCTGTCTGTGTTTTGATAATTTTCTTTTCAGTAGAGAATCTAGTATTGCTTCCTGTAATATGGTTTTAAGATTATTGAACCAGCTACTTGATACTAAGAACCTTTTCTGTTCACAGAATGCATGTTTACAGTTTAGTTAAGATTACCATCTAGTAATTCTATGATATGCATCCAATATTTTACTATTTGTTTTTTGATGTCAATCAAGAGAGGATATTGTCCTAATTCAGCTCTAGAAATGAGGTTAAGGAGATTTTTTTTTAAAGTACCTAGCACAAACAAATATAAACAGCCTTACTCCAACTCTATGCCATTCTTTCAACCCTGGATGCTGTAAGCCTGACACATGGGCAGCATGTACACACACTGCTGAGTACATAGCAGCCATGGAAGTCAAACCCACAATCTCTCTAAAGCTGAGCGAACATGCTAACCAAAAGCCTTCATGGAAAGCCAAAATGAAAGGGACAAAATAGCAGCAGCAGGCGGTGTGTGAAATCATACCAAATAAGTTAGATCCATTTTTTATTCCACTGCAGCAAATTTACTAAAGGGTGATCAAAGTACTAGTAGTTTTCATTACAAAAAATAATGTATTTGCACACAAAAGAAATATATTTCAAAAGCACAAATATAGAATTTAGAAATAGTGTAATTTTGTATTATATATAAGCAAATGTAATATATTATTGTCAGTGAAGTTTTTAAATGACAAGTCATTGTACTAGCAACTACAAGTTCACTCTAGGCAAGGTACTATTTAAATATTCAGGCAAGGTACAAATTATTAAACTACATATTATATTTAAAAATCAATTACAATTAAACAAACATTTTTTTTCTTTGTTGGTATCATATATATGTATGTACTGGTAGTATTTTTAGAGGCCTAAATGATCATATTTTCATCTGTTTATTTTTGCTCAAACAAGAAAATAAAGAAAAGTTGCCACCTCAAAAAATAATCAAATAAAATGTTTCATCAAAGCTTATACTCATGATGTCCTCCCACAATATGAAATCCAAATTATCTCTCAGATATTATTTAACTATCAAACTGACGAGACAAAAATTGGTATTGCTTCATACATGTATCCCATGCAATTGAACAATATCAGATGCGACAATCGCTAAACTGATGGGAAATTGCTACTGAATGGTAAATTTATTTACAATGTCACACAGTTGAACAATATCAAAACTAGACTTAGTAAAACAGAACAATTCTAGCAAAAATATTTTGAATTTATGACCTACCTGTCCAATATGACAAATAATCAGTGAATGAGACAGAGTTGACAAGTCTATTTGATTTTGCCACTGCATACTAGTATACAACAGTTATTTACAAAGTAAAAAAAAAACATATGTGATCAAACAGAGTGCAGTGTCTGTATGCTAATATAAACTATGAAACCTTTACTATAGATGTTTAAATTTATTATCATCATTAACATACATACATGTATCATAAAAGACTCCACATGTCATTGGGTGGCAAGTTCATATGACCATATGACACACACACACACACGCTACTTACCGTACTCATTTCAAAGCAATATTGCACACAACTCTTTTTTTGAGAATCATAACAAGTTAGCCCCTGTCACAACCGCGATTACAACACGACGGATGAAATATAAATACCGACAATAAAAAAAAGCAAAATAGCTGAAAATAAAGAGCTAAAGAGTAAAGAGTAAAGACAGTAAAGTTCTGCCAAAACAGAACTTGACCTCATGACAAATCGCCCAAGGGCAATGTAATCATTTAGGGCTACTAACAAAAATAATAATGACAAATACAGTACATTGATATTGTTTGATACAAATATTGAGCACGAGATCAAGTTTTATGGTTGAGTCGAGCAGATGATGAAACAGCTGAAACATCACAATAACATCAGCTGGCCGAACAGCCTCAAAAACTTTAACGGGTGCAAACATCTTTTCGCAATATAAAATTAATCTGTTAAACAGTACTCATAAAACAGATTTTCGTTAACAATTCAAAAAAGTAATAATGTGGGACTGAAGTGGTCTTTAGTCCCGGCCTGTGACGAGATACAGCGCTGGATCGTACGTACGTGGCACGTCGCGGCGAGTACACGGGAACATCGAGTGAAAAGAAAGCAACGACCACCAGGCCGTTTGCAAGGCAACTATCGCCAATTAGTTTGGTGCTAAAAACCTGAAACTCCAGAATAAGTATCTACTTTTACCGACTCACCTGCAATCGAAGTGACGATGATACCATCCAAATAAAAAACATGAAGTTTTAGGTCTCAAATGCACCAGAAACCGACAATATTCCGAAACGTCGCAATGAAGCAGACGGGCGTAAATTGAAATACGCATGCGTACGAAGACGTCATCAAATCCGGCGGAAAAGTGTTTGGGTGCAAAACATTGTATAAATACGCAAAACGTTTGTTTTTTGTGTATGTAAACTGACGTAATATACTGTAGATTTAATGGTACAGCTACATTACAGTATATTGGAACTTGATCCTAATATATCTGGCAAAAATGTTACAATATATTGTCTTCCGTCATCCTTACATGAGGAACTATTGCCTGCGTAGTGATATTTATGGAAGGGATCATCTGACCTATTTCGAATATGCGTGTGTCGAATTCAATGTCCGTGAGGATAGAGACAAAATATATCGATACATAGCCTACGTTTAGAGTCAAGAAGACCACTAATTCGCTTGGAAAACGAAAGTTATTCATAGAAATACCATCGTCTAAGATGCCTGAAGGCGATCGGGAGACCGAAAAGGTCTCCCAACTCGAATCTGGTGAGTTATGCGGCATTTGAGTCGGGTGACCCATTGCTTTGCGTTGCATTTTGAACTAATTTTCCTCCCTTCTTTCGGCAGAATTGTACTTCCTTATCGCCAAATTTCTCGCCAGCGGTCCGTGTACGAAGACGTCGGAGGTAAGTAGTGTCCAATAATGGCTTTCGTTGATTCCTTTCTGTCGTTTCGCCGCTGATATTTTTCAATTTAATTGCAGGTTCTAACAGAGGAACTGGAGAGACATCAGGTAGGTAGAGATTTCACCTATTCCGTCTGTGTGTTGTGTAGCCCATCGATAAGAGCGCAAAAATATAGTTTTTGACGAAAAACAATGAAAATATCTATTTTATAGTGAAAATTGTGAATTTTTATGACATTAGCCTTTGTAACGTATTTTTACCCTTTGTTTGATAACATCATTTTATTTTACAGTTGCTGCCTGGGCGGCTAGATTGGCAGGGAAATTCGCATTGCAGAACGTTCGAAAACTTGGTAAGAAGCGCAAAACTTTCTTAACTTTGCGCAAAAGTTTGAATTTCCCTCGAAAACACCGAAAATCCCGGAAATTTTGAACTTTGTTGCTAACCACGGTTTTGGATAGTCCGGATGGAACTGTTTCGGGAAAATTCATCGTTTTGGGGCGAATGTCTTTATTTTTGTGTGAAAAAACACAAAATATATGGAAAAATTCCGTCGAAAACACATTCTGTTTGTTGGATTGAATTTGCATACGAGAGATAGAATGACATTACGTCGTGACGTCATGAGCTCTTGGATAGATCGGCCAACCGGCTCACGCTTATCACGTGAACAAGGAGAATGTAGGTTACATCGAGGTCACCTACTAGCGATGCTCTCATTGGTCAACTCATTGTAATGCTGCTCATGTTTTATTTATGAGGTTGCAGGGCACTGCTCTGTTCACATAACCTTGTGTTTATTGTTAGTCAACTCAGACTCTTAGAAAGAATGTAGAAAAAACTTAATGAAATATGTATTCAAATACAATGTTCATGCATTCTAATCCTACTTATTTACCTTTTTACTTTAAAAAAAAAATAATTCCCCTTAAAGCATATTAATGCATTTTACGCTTTTTGTTAATTTAACTAGATTGTAATTTTGATTTTTTTTTATGCACCATGAGTTACAGTTGGTCTGCGTGGCATTAGGTCTTATAATCCAAAAAGTAAAATATCAATTATTGTAAATGTGTGTATATTTGGTAAAATTATCAAATCTTACTTCATCTAAATTATCCTAAAACTGGATACCTTCTGTTATTCTAAATTTTAGAAATAGAAGTATTGAATGTTGGAAAATGAAATTGTTTCATTTGTTGATTAGTTATATTTTATTAATGATGTGGAATTAAAGAAATAAGATTGTCAGAGAACCTAATATGCTTGCATCTACAGTAACAAATGTTTCTTATATATTTATTTGTGAACAGGAACATAGTTATCCTCATGTAGCCAAAGAACATTTACTAGAAATCTGTCAAAGACTTGGTCCAATTTTAGATAAAGAAATCAAACCCAATGTTACTGGTGTTCAATCCTTACTTGGAGTCGGTAGACAGTCATTACTGAGGACAGTGCACGGTATGTACCATAAGTTCTTCAGATTTTCAATTTCTCGCTAAAATTTAGTATTGCTTATTGTTGTTGAAGTGTACTGAATTTATTTTTCATAGAAAAGAAAATTAACTCTTGAGGCCAGAAAAAAAGTTTCTGCTTAATAATTTGTTTCTAAGCTTGTGGGCTCACTCACGTTAACGTCATTCATATTTAAAGTTTTTATGGAGAAAGAAGGATGTGTTTCCAAGAAAACATGTGTATTATAATCAAAAAAGTGTCCATTTTGGTGCATTTTCCGAAGGATGCCATGTAAACACATTATTACATGCATAACTAATATTTAGAATTTTCCTATTTTTTTTATGACAACCATGTGTAGCCGTCGTAACACCAAATGTCATTTTTTTAGCATAGGTCAAGAAACAAAATTTTGATATGATGGAACGTTTCTTTCTGCCACAAGAACCAATTGTAAATTTTTGATCAATTTTTGGAGTCGTTTCACTCTTGCTGGGTTTCAAGGATTTCTGGGTATTTTTTAATGGTAGCTTTCATTTTTATTTTTTTCTCATTTTTTGTGACATCAAAAACCTAAAAATATGTACTTATAATTGGAAGACCTTTTAGAGACAGACCAGATTTTATATCCCACATTTTGATTTTTCATCTTCTGTATTTTAATCACATTTTGATTTTTCATCTGCTGTATTTTAATTTAATTTATAGATATTCGGAAATCTGAGTGGCCAGCATCAATTCACTCAGCGCTTATCTCCGGTGCCCCATTGTGTCCTCCAGTTAACTTGGCTTTTATTCCAAGTGTATGTAAGTACAAACAATGAATTCATATTAACCAGTTTTTACCACTGTTATGTTAGACTCATTCTTGTATTAGTCATCTCCATTTCAAGGCCATGAATCAGTAAATGTTCATTATGTTAATTTTATGATTCAAAATAAGCTTGGACTATTTTCAATATTTGCTCAATATTTTTGAAAAATTGATATAATTTATCAAATTCTTGAAGGATACTTTGCGTGATTGTTTTAGTCTGGAAAGTAGCATTGAAATCAGTATGGGTTTGATTCATGGGTAGATATCCTCAGGTTTTATTTTCAAAACCACTCTTAAAATTAAATTAAATAGTTTTCTTTATAATTTGTATAATGAATGATATCATGACATTTATAAATAAGCCAGTAAGATGGATTAGTATTCGATTGTAAATTGTTACACTCATGGTTATATATTTATTTATATCAAGTGCTGACTGACCTTGTGCTGTGTCTATGTTTGTAAAGTCAATATCTATGGCTATATTCTTATTTGGTACTCATTTGGTTTTAATATTTTATTAATATTTTTTTAAGCCCCACTGTCGACTTTGTCGAGCGGAGCTTATCATATGATTATCATTATTCCTCGTTCGTGTCAACTTTTTCGACTTTTTCTTGAAAACTAAAAGCCTGATTGCTTTGATACTTGGTGTATATGTACCTTGAGTAGACCTTAGATTTGTTTATTTCATGATGATGTATTTAATTCTGTAATTTTATTTTTGTCATTTTTGGTAAAAAGTGATATTTTTGACTGCTTGTTGAAAACTGCAAGTTTGATGGCTTTGATATTATACATATTATACAGGTACTTTATGTGAACCGATCTCAGATTTGTTCATTTTGTGATATCTTTAATTTTCTACCGTAATTGAAATGTGCATTGCTAACAGTTGAGCTATCTCATCCGATAGGCTGTTTGTTCAGTTTTATTTTAACTTGTAAATTTCATTAAATGGACACATTTATTGAAAATGAAGTCACTTTTCACTACTGTGTAAAAACACTAGTCTACTCTATTTGCTTTCAGGTCATGTTTTACAAGGTCGTGAGCTCTCAGGAATTGCAAGGCATGACCATCTTGTTCCCAGAAAATTTTATAATAAAGTTGCTATGCATTGTCGAACACTGGGACATCTATCTGCAGTCTACTGTGTATTATTTGACAGAACAGGCACTAGAATACTTACAGTAAGTTTTCATTTTACCTCTGACAATGATAGCATATGTGTTTACTAGTACTTATATGGTATAATCTATCCATCTATTCATATGAATTCTTATCAGATGCACTATGAGCGTCACACAATATTTTATTGAAGACATTACTTGCTATGCTGATTTGAATTAGTTGGCCATCATTTAAACTTATCACAGAATTTCCTGGCCTTTACCGTATGGTTTTATTTTAAGCTGATGCTCAAAGCAGCAGGGGAAAAAATGTACAACCGTAGTTTTCGCCCAAAAAATGTGGCAAATACCCATAAAAATGATAAATTTTTTGTCATTTGCCATTGCTTTATATGGTTAAAATGTTTTGTAATATCTCAAAATGTTGTATATGTATATAGGGAAAAAATATATACATGCAGTTATAAGATAGGTCTTAATGGGATTCCAAATGATATGAATGAATCAAAAATAATATAACACTTAAAGCAGGAGAGTCTCATCTACGCATGCGTCAGGTGGCCATAGCAAGTCATTGTTTACAAACAATAGTCTACCCATGAGTCTTTGCATTCTTAGTGTGTGTTATCATCGCTTGGGACTCAATTCCCGCACATGCGCATGTGACGACCCTCCCGCTTTAAAATAAATGAACGTGATAATCTTTTTGACCTTATTCAAAAGTGTAGCTATAACAATTTCATCTTCTTTCAAATAAGGGTGCTGATGACCACTTAGTTAAAGTATGGTGTGCCAGAGATGGAAGATTATTGTCAACATTACGTGGACATGCATCAGAAATTGCTGACATTGCAATAAATTATGAGAATACATTATTAGCAGCTGGTAGTACAGATAAAGTTATAAGAGTGTGGGATCTAAGAACCACAGCACCTGTAGCTGTCTTATTGGGACATACAGCCATGATAACAGCTCTTCAAGTAAGTCTTATTCTCATTACACAACTGTTAAAGATCTCTCAAAGTCATAGATGAAAGTGGATGAAGCTCTGGTTTCAACAATTAAAATTTTTGTAGCATCCTCTTTCATGGTGTGAACCTTTTCGTCTTAGTGTTTAATCCCATGTAGCATCTGAACAACAGTCTCTGCACAGTGCTAAGAAAGAACTCTAATATCAGCAAAAAGTCTAGATGTCATTCCAACAGCCAAGTAAAGTAATATTTATTATCAGTGAATGTAATATTTTGTGCTAGTGATATGTTTATTATCTTAATACCGAAAAGCAATATACAGAATGTATTTGTATAACCAATCAATGTTTTCTCGCTATGATTCAGTTTTGTCCTGCCGTGAAGGGATCTGTTCGATTCCTATGTTCCACTGGTGCTGATGCTACAGTATGTTTCTGGCAATGGAATGCAAGTACAAATATTTTTAAGTAAGTATCCGTCACATTGTTTCCTCTACATTAATGTAAAACCATTTATTTTCACTGGGATTTTATCTCACAATTTTGAGCATACTCACTGGGTTCTTAGCTCTCAAACTTGCCAGGGAAACAATGACTTCTATTGTCATTATATTTGTTCACATAGATTTAATTTTGCAAATTTTTCTTGAAAGCAAAAATAGTAAAATTAAAACCCAATGAATAATTAATGGTTATTTTGGAAAAAGAGGAGCGAACCCTGGAATTAATGTGTTCCTTGCTGTTTTTACGGTCTTATATAATATAAAAATATCAACTGCAGCTTGAACTTTTCTAAGACTGACAATTAAATCTGACAGCCCCTCTTTATTAGCTCCACTGTTGATAAAGTTGTGAAGATCTGTTCGTATTACTGATAAAACTACATGTATTTGGTAATCAGAAAGCATCATATAACAAGATATCATGGCAATTCAATGATACACATGCTTTTTTTCAGTTTGACATATGATAGTAATATAATTGATTTACTATGATATATGCTTGGGTAACGTTGGGATCAAAGAAAACAAAGTAACCCTATGCATACTTGGATGATACATATACTGGTATAAGGTGTTTAAAACTATCATAACATTTGTCTGTCAGTATCACTGCACATATTGTTTCTTTGTGGGTTTTTTTGTGCCGGGCGACAGTTGAATGTCACATTGAATGTCACTGTTGGCTCTCCTGACTTTTTGCATATATTGTTAATATTAACATTATTATCTGTCGTCTATGTCTCTCTTATGCTTGTAAATGCTTACTCAGTTCTATTTATTTTTTCAGTAACAGACCTTTAAAATTTCATGAAAGGTCACGAGCAGGAGCACAAATGTTATGTCAATCGTTCAGTCCAGGTGAGTACAATGTTGGTCAAGTTAATGACATTGCTGATTGTATGCAATATCCTGGTTATTGTTTATACATTGTTGGTGAAGTATGGGTGTGGATCACGTTGCTTCCATTACTGCATGTGTGTTGTGGTTACTAGTATCTTGTATTTAATGAATATTGTATTTGCACCAATTACAAGTACATAAACCTAACTTTGCATTTATTGTGTGGTTGGATTTTTTGAAAGGCAACTTATTTTGACCAGTTATTTTGCAGTAGTAATATATAAAATGACAAATATGCTGTTTCAATGGAAGCCATTATTCCAAAATCATTTAATTCAGTGTCCATTTTTGAATCTCACACCTGTGTATGCAATGTGTACGTGTTGAGTATGCGCACTCCCCTATCTTCAAAGATGGTTGTTCACTTTCATATTATACTTTTATATTTTTTTTAGTCCCCGTTCGGATGCAGTCCGAAAACGGGGACTTATGTTTTGACCTCAGTGTGTCCGTGCGTGCGTCTGGACCTGTATCATAGAAATGCCTGGACCAATCACAATCAAACTTCACACATACATCATACATGTTAGTATACATATGCACGTCAATTTGTTTCACGATCTGATTCAAGATGGCCGAATGGCGGCCATTTTTGTACTAAAAATCATCAAAATGGATGGATTTTGTTTAAACTTGGTATATATGTTGGACATTATAGGACCTCGATGCACATCATTTTGTTTTTCAGATAAGATTCAAAATGACCGACTGGCGGCTATTTTGTTTTAAAGAATTCAGTTCTGGATCCGTATCCAAGTTCAAACTTCACACACACATGGTACATCATGTCACAAATAGATATGTGCATTTGTTTCATGATCCGCTTAACAATAGCTGAATGATGGCCATTTTAAGGCCGAAAATGCATCAAAATCACGTATTTTCACAATTCCGGAACCGGATCTTAGTCATGCATTGATGGATTTTGTTCAGATTTAGTACAATGTGTTGTACATATGCAGGTGCATTTCGGTCATGATCTGCTTTGAATGTATATGTCACTCAAATATGAACGGAACGGGGACGTGTCATTGACAATGACTTGTTTTTTTGAGATTCAATCAGTTATAGAAATTTTTTAGTAGTCTTCGTAGCTTCACTAAATGGGTTATGTTTAACTTTTGTCTATTTTTTGATGTATTTTAGGTGGTACTTTTCTTGCCACTGGTAACACGGATCATATTATTCGAGTCTATTTTCTGAGTTCAGCGGGACCTGACAGATTGACAGAATTAGAAGCTCATACAGTAAGTTGTGTACCTTTAACTAATTTGCATATCATTTGCATACATAAACATAGTTTTATATAGCTCTTCTGGTCTGTGATTTTTAATTAGTTTAATAATTAATGTTCTTTTCATGTGTTGAATAGCATTTTGATATGTAATGCATTGTATACAGTGATTAATATTAATTGCGTACAAATTTTGTCTCTATAGGATCGTGTAGATAGTATTCAATTTAGCCACTCAGCAGATATTAGATTAGTGAGTGGTAGTCGTGATGGCACTGCCAGAATATGGGAATTCAGGAGACAAGAATGGCGCAATACATTACTCAATATGGCTACAAGACTACCAGGGTATGTATTTGTATTATATTTGTATTGTATATTTTATTTCACCTTAAAGTAAATACAATAGGGTACTTGCTAAATACATAATGCTTTGTCATTATGGTGTGGAACATGATAAATAGCTCAAAAAGAGCTAGTAAAACATCATGTCCCTACCCTAATTATAAACTAGTCAAATTATCAGAAATATTCTTACAAATATTCAAATGTAATGTATATAAGAATACTTAAAACTGATCAAAAATAAGTCATAAAAGTCATAAGTGACAATTGTTACATAAGTCAATTCTGGGTTATTTATTAGATACTTTTTAAGACCTTGTTTAAATGTGTATCAAGAGGTAATATTTTTTAATGACACTGGCAATGAGTTCCAGAATAAGGTACTACTATAAATTACTCTGTGTTGACTTTGAGTTAAACGTTTCCTTGCTACAAAAAAGTTTGCGTTTTCTACAGATCTTGTACTGTGCGAGTGCTGAATTGGGTCAAAATAATCTAGCACACATCTCACATGATTATTATTTTTCAGATTAAAAATTAACATTCCAGGTGCCATGGTGTTTAATATTACTTTATATTCATATGTCAAATTTAGAGAGTCATGATATCATGGAATATTGCCCATTGTAGGCTTTTCATAGAAGACTCGGTCATGTTGTCATCAAATTGTTTGTGTTGTGTACGTCACTGTGTACCATATCGAACAGGGTGTGAGATGGCGACCATCTTCTTTAGAAATTTAATTTTTCTCATTTTTAGCCTGAAGTCTAAGCATATGTGTTTTTCTAATCTATGTATAGAATTTACAATTAGGCTTCTGATAAAATGTACATTTCGGCTTCTGATAAAATGTACAACAGTTGAGTTCTTGTACTTCTGTCAGTCTAATTAGCTAATTTACACCAAAAAAATGTTCTATTTATAAGCAAGTATAAACAAATCTGTTGGAAGTAAAACATTTTTCCTGTGTTTTGTTTTACAGTCAAAGAGAACCTGTGTCAGAAGATAGTAATAAAATTGTAAAATACAAAGTGACAATGGTAGCTTGGAATACTGATGATAGTTATGTTATTACAGCAGTTAATGACCATACATTAAAAGTTTGGGATTCTTACACTGGTCGAGTCTTGCATCAACTCACGGTAATTCTGCATCCATCTCCAATAATATCTGTTTATTCACCTTTCTCCTTAACAGGACTGGTTTATTAGAGATCTCCCAAAATCAAGTTGGGTCACTCTGTTGACTACTGGGGAGAGAGAGAGATCTTCACAACAAAAATTGAATTCGACTGTACATGTTGATGACTTGTGGCACAATCGAAAATGTGGCCCCACATTCTACTGTTTCAAAATCACTTTGGAAATGTAGGATTATCTGTGTCAATGACACACCAGTGTTGCGTCTCACCAAATCTGAGTGCATTAGTGGCATGTCATATCGGTTTAAAGGACACGCTGCTCCTAAAAATGAAATTGCATGACTGACAGAACATTTACCTTTATCTTGCAGGGTCATGATGATGAAATTTTTGTACTCGAACCACATCCTACTGATCCAAGAATATTCCTGAGCGCTGGCCATGATGGTCATGTTATTCTCTGGGATCTCTGCATTGGTGCACAGATCAAAAGTTTTTTTAATTTGGTAAGATGATTTATATTATGATGTAAATAATCAGTTGAATACCTAGATATATAATGACTTAATAATGTTTTAATAATTGATATTTTTGTTTTCAGATTGAAGGCCAAGGGCATGGTGCTGTATTTGATTGTAAATTTTCACGAGATGGTAGTTTATTTTCCACGACCGATTCACATGGCCATCTAAGTATATTCGGGTTTGGTTCTTCTGATAGTTATCAAAAGGTATGTACGTTTCCATGCAAAAAAAATCTGGTGCCTTGATTAGTGATGTTGAAAACCAAACACCTGTCAATTGCGCAAGTGCATACATTACTGATACAAATGCAGTATTCATTTCCTTGTGCTCTGTATGATGTCATTAAAATCCAGGATAGATGGGTCATAGGTCAAACTCTTTAATATTGCCTGTTAGTATTATACCATATGTTACCGTAGGCAGCATATGCATTTACAATATTGTAATATTTTAATAGTATGAAACTGCAACTAAAATCATGTGTCAATCTTTAACCATCAATTTAATAAATTATATAACTAGTTGTACACTCGTATCACTTTATGTAACAACTGTTCTTAGCACATTAGATACTATAATGAATGCAATTGTCATATCCTGATTACATCCTTAGAAATGCATTTACAATATTGTAATATTTTAATAGTATGAAACTGAAACTAAAATCATGTGTCAGTCTTTAACCATCAATTTAAGGATGCTGTACACGTTTTTGGTATTGATTTTCTAAACTGATATTTTCATATAAAATATTTACTGAACCACACAAAGCTATATATTGATGGAAAGCTTATTTCACACTGGATATGAAATTGACAAGATAGTGTGTGTGTATGGACGTGTATAGTCACGTGATCTCTGTGTAAACACAGAAAGCCATTTTCGGTAAAAAATAATTGAACCAATGAATAAACAAATTTAGTGGAACATTGGCAACAAAACAGTTTTTCAGACGATGCTCACCACCATTCTGAGTTAATTGAGATATATATCGACATGATAGTTGGAGAAGAAATAATAATTTAGTT